ATCTGATTTACATCAAAAGATTTTGCCTACACAGTAGGCAAATACAATTCGTTGGAGATACATTTGTACCAGAAAAAAAGCTTACCACGAATGTAGCTATTCTACCAGTTTACCACTGTAACTATACCAGCAAATCTTCCTTTGTATAAATACGACATCAGAAAGGACTGTCCTTATCACATTTCTGAATTTCTTGGGTTTAAAGGTAACATCCATTTTAGGTTAATCTTCCAAATCTAGAAATAGATATCTGAAGAGCTAGAAAATGAATAGTTTTGAATACATTTGGAATCTGCCCAAGAGCGAAACAGAAGTCTGAGTATACTTCAGTTTGCGTGGGATTCATCTTATTCAACCTTAGCTCCTAAAAATTAGGCACTAAGTCTAACCAAGTTGACCACGCGGGTCAAGGTCTTGATCCCTACGCAATGGGGAAAGATAAGCACGTCCAATATGATATATGTTACCCTTTTAAAGTTGGTTTCACAATCATTTCTTCTGATAATGTTTTAGATTTAAGCAACCCAATGCTTTCCACTCTAGCTATTCATTTCTGTGTCTGTGCTGTCCCCGTTGTTGTGCTGACTCATTTGTGTGGCCAAGGGTAAACCAGACTGAGAAGCTGATCCAGATCAAAAATATCTCAAGGAAAAAAAGATGACTACTTTTAACACAGTTATTTGCTTGATCCATTTCACCATCTTCAGAGAGGGAATTGAAGAAAATTTTGCTTTTTTTTTTTTTATTCCAGGATGTGCCTGCAGTCTGGGACACTTGAGGCCAATTTAGGATGCATGGCCACCTTGTACTAATTCTTCTGCAACACCTTTCTAACCCTTAAACACAAGGATATAAGGTCTGACATTAGGGATGAAAATTTTACCAATAAGCAACATGTTTAATTCATTCCTAGGGATGGAATTCACCACTAGCAGGCAGAATATACAGTGCTGAGATCTACTAACTACAGCACATTACAAAATCATTTTAATATTTGTAAGTATTTTTCTACAGGAGTTGTAAATAAATGATCAGTATTTAAAACTTGTTCTAAATGTCATTTAAACATTAATGTGATCATTTTGATATGGTTTTTACATTTCTTCACTTTTTTCTTTAAGAAAAGAGGAATAGTTGGAAAGCATTTTGTTCTCCCATTTAGATGTGTGACTGAAAATGAATATTGAGAAAATATTTTAATTAATATTATAGAAGGACATTACTACCTAAGATTATCATTGTTTAAAATAATAATGAATTAAAAGGTCTTTGACTGGAGTCTCTCAAGTATATATTGACATCAATGGCTAGGTTTCTATTCAGACAGCGCTTCCTTGAAATTAAGGTATTTAGGTGATACAGGTATTTATAAGGTGATTTTCTTAAAAATATGTAACAGCAATTCATGTGTCACGAACACAAGCGTGACAAAACATTTTAGCTATATAAACATGTTCTGGTCATACTGCAAAACTCTCATTTGGCAAAATGAATAAAATTTTCAACCACTTCCGTAAATGATTGTAAACAGTAGGTAAGCATTACCTGTAATACATAATTCCTGACTTCTTGGGATTGTTACTCAAGAAGCATGTTAAAGCATTTTCTATAATATTTTTGCATAAAATCATAGTTTTACATACTCATTTTAAAAACCATGCAAGTAATATATATATCACTTCTCAGAATTTAGAGATTTCACTTACCTAGCCCATCTCTTTCTCCCCATCTTCCCTCTCTCCGTGCTTTATACTAAGGGTTTTGGAATTGAGCAGGATATGGTCATTTCAAGGATGGACCTTTTGCTGTCCCTGCGAAATTCCATCTTAAATGGCCACATTACAAAGCTTTAAAGTGCAGCTCACATATGCCCATCAGCGACCTGTAAGGTGAGAAGTAACAGTCAAAATCTATAAAAATTCCATACCCATTGCACATGTTAAAGCTTCACACAGCTTTAGTGATGACTAGGCTAGTCCTGCATCCTCTTCATAAAGTGAATGGGTGAGCTCATATACAAAGTTCTGAAAATTTTTCCCTGCCATGGCTGTCCCCAGCGGCTTTGCTTCCGAGCAGTTCAGGTACAAGAAGTGAAACCTGCAACAACATCATCTGTTTTTTTAAGTGCTAAGCACTCAGACTCTAACAGTTGTCAGAGGGACCTCTGCTCTAGACATACAAACTGCTAAAAATACTAATTTATCTGAAAAATGAGGCCTCAGATTTCTCAATTAGACACATGATATTAATGGATCCTTTTGACCTTAACCTCTCCATATCTCAGCTTCCTACCCACCAAATGGGGATAAAATATTTCCATTATCTCATATGGGTATTGGAAACATAAAGCAATGAATATCTGTGGTGAGTTCAGATGCAAGTGATTGATACATTTCATAGAAAAAAAATTTGTAAGAAAGCTAATGATTCTGTATTCAGAGAAGAATATTTGTGCACTGTGTCATCTATAATGAATTAGGCAATATTTTAAGTACGTGATTCTGTATCATGGCACATAGGCAGTCAGATGCCAAATTAAGATTTCACAGGCATCTTTCATTCTGGCATTTATAAACTTTTCAGTGCTTGGTTTCTCCATCTTACTTACTTTCTTAATTTTTGCGTATACGTATATAGTCTTTAAAACAGTGAATTTTGCTGCGGCAGCGCTTGAAGTCTGCAGTTAATAGTAAATTCTACTGCGTCTGAATGGAAAAGGACTTGTTTATGACTACCATGATTGCTTCTCTTTATATTTGTTATTAATTAGTGCTGACTGTAGTTTGCCTTTACTTAGTCTGACTGTTTTCTCACTGTATGCCTTGCCTTGCATGTTGATAACTCCCATGAGATCTGAAAAGTCACTTCAGAGATACTGTCCCCTGTTGCTTTGCAACGTGCCCTGATATGCGGCTGGGCTACCTGGACACAGAACTCTGTTTCCAAACGTTTCAATCTTTCAGTCATAGACCATAACAAAAAATAAATTACTGATACACCACTGGAGAAAGTATTCACTCTCAAGTAATTTTTGCCTAAAGGTTATGAAATCCAATAAATAAACAACAGAGCAGATGACATTTTAACATTTCCTGTCCTATTTCTGCTCTAAAAGGCATTTTTACTGCCCAGTTTGTTTCAGCATCACTCAACTTTGAGTAAGCTTGGAAATTTCAGGCAGCGCTACATATTAATACACTTAATTCCCTTTTTAACTACTGCTAGCTAAAATCAGCTATGTAAATATGTCCCTGAGGTTAAATGTGGAGATGTGAAGGAGGTTAGCAGGTATGTATTTTCCACTTTGTTTTGCCATTGTTAACATTTGCAGGTGTGGCTCAGAATTAGTAAAGGGAACAGATTTACTTGGTAAGAAAGGTGGTATTTTCCAAGGAAATTCACAGCTTGATATTTTAAATAACAATTGAATAAAGTGGAAATTGTAGCATGCAATAGCTTAGATTTGCTAGAAAAGAAAACATGACTACACATGCACTCCAATACCATGGTTAAAGCCACCAAGGAAAAACACCAAGAGTAGCAGATGCTGTGGCAAATTTTGCACACCGTCAGAAAGGAGACTTGAACTGTTTTGTTATTTGTATGCTGTTCAAGCAGGCAGATTTCAAGAAGCAGCCTTTAAAAGAAGAGCATAGCCCAAACGACCAAGTCTGGACATTATGACAGCCAAGTAGGTCACCAAGAAAACAGGAACCCAAGTAATGCAGAACAGAAATAATCCTGAAGATGAAAACCAGACCAAAAAAACTCATGCAGCTGAAGCAATCACTTAAATCCTAAGAAACAAACAGGTCATCCAAAACAATTTCTCTAAGAGGGGTCAGTATAAATCCAGATCAACAAAGATTAAAATACCCGCAGGAGAAATTCAGCATAGAAAATCAATTTTAAAAAGTAAAACTCCTTCATTTCAGTGATAAACTGGAGACAAACATATGCATGAGGAAATCATGTAAAAATATAACTTTAATCTTTGGTGTAATGTACCAAATTTAAGTCTGGAATACCATCCATATTTTAGTAAGTTTAAAGACCAAAAAATTTACATTACATAAATTACATTATATAAAACTTTAGATGACTCCTGAGATCATAATAATTGGGGTATCAAATATAATATGTTAGAAGTACCCCAAAACCCCAGTCAGAAACAGAATCCCATGTACAAAATACATATGAAATCATAATCATCATTCTAAGCACTGAAGTACAAGCAAGATTCAGAGTAAATTTGGTTTATTCACTGGAGCTTCAACTAGATAAAACTGATTTTTTTTTTTATTACATTTGCTGTGCCATTGCAAGTTTATTCATCATGGAGGTTCTACAAGTTATGTTTATCCTATCATTAGGATAGTATTAGAATACATACATATGCGATAATGAGACGTAGCGAGCTTCTAGGAACAGAAGACGTCGCTGTTCCATACACATCACGTGAAAGAACAACTCTTGAACAATATGGCTAAACTTAATAAAAGTTAAACTTCAATGAACTGTGCGCTACTCTTATGTTTCCCATGTTATATCATTAATCGTAACATGTTTTAAGCTTTCTTCTGAAATACATAAAGACTAATTTGCAGTAAAGTCAGAAGAGAGTTTATGTTTAACATTTGAAGCAATATCTTCTCTTCTCCTAAATGCTCCACGAAAATTCACAAAAGATAAAAGTCACAGGACTTTTTAAAATAGATTGAAAGATAGCAGCGCTTACAGATTAAGGTCATATATTCAGTATTGTACTCTAGTTATTCACCGTAAATGCTAGGCTCCCTCTGTTACAGGCTTGATTCTAGCCCATTTCTAATTAGCCTTTACTTTTCCAAGCCTTTCTCCAGGGATGCAAACTTGTAATTTTATTTTTTATTCAAAAACTGTTCCTCCTATGCATTTTTCTATCCAATATCTGAATGTGATGATGATTATGCATCCTTCAAGTAATTGTAATAACGTTTGCAGTTGCCACCAGTTTTGTAAAATTTAAAAAAAAAAAAAAAAAGAGAGAGAGAAGAAAATAGAATAGACATAAGTAATTCTGAAAGGTCAGGACCTAAAATCAAATTTCAGAGAACCTCCATGTCTTCTCTGGAGTTTTCAAAAGAGGGTGAGAATGCAATCTGAGTAAACTTTGTCACTTGGTTTCATAACTTCTCCTGGTTTACACAGGACATACACAATGAAAATACAAAATTGACTACACATTGATGACTAGTTTCAGTGAGGTTGCTTGAACTATTTGGGACTAAGGAGATTAGTGCCAGCTATTTATGTATGTATGTGTTAATATATATTTATTTTGTTCGCATGTATCAAAGCAGATGATTCAGGCTAAGACTCTTGAAGCAGTGACCCTAAAGAGTGAGTTGGACTTGAAAATGGAAAAGAAAGAGTTTTCATGCTTTCATTAATTCTTTACCAACAAGAATATTATATATTTCACCACGGGTTTTTGCCATTAAGAAGAACATTTAAGTCTGCTTACTTGCCTATTTATCTATGTATGTAGTTCCATATCGAGTTTATCCTTAAATCTGCCACTTTCAAATCACATGAAAAAAGTAGTAATTTATCTACAGATATGGAGGAAGTCCATGACAGATAAATGATTATAAGGTTTATATCTGCTAAGGATTTGACTTCTCATAGTCAGTGATTTAGTCATAAAAGACTATTTAGACTAAGATTCAATGACTGCTGAAAAAATGGAAGGATTAAATTCCCTTAATTCTTTGAAAATCTGAAGTATGACCATTGAGAACAGCATCATTTATTTTTTAATAATATATTAACTCATTTAGCCAATCAGATTAGAAGACAGCAACAACCGAAGAAAGCAACAGTTTTACTAACAACATCCATTTCATATGTCTTAGATTAATGTGAAGGTCCTTAAATACAGTATAGAACCAATAATTAGCAATGTACATAAGTGGATGATTGTAAAGAGCATTGGACCAGCTCAGCTGATGTGGTAGTCTGAACTTGAAGGATGTACTTCTAAATTACAGACTTCAGAAAGAGATTCCCTAAGAGATTCCTGCTCAGTGCCTCTCTTTTTTAAAATCATTGTCTATTTACATCTTACTGACTCCAATTCTAAGGTCCTATCTCAATAAGCTCTTACTTCTAGAGAAATTCTTCAGTGGATTACCTGCACAAAGTCTCCTATGATTCTTCAGAATGAATTTAGGGACCTAACATGTATAGTCTACTCCTTCATTTACTCAACAATTTATTAAAATTATGCTGGTCTTAAAATATTTTGCTTTTCCCTCATCATATGAATGATTCCTTCTTAGCCTTATCCAGAGGCAAGCAGACATTACATAATAGTAGGAAAGAAGAATACAGCATGTGTACAAGTACTGGTACATGAAAGTTAACTTTAAGCTAACTTAGGAAACAAATTCATAAGCTATTAGTAGGCCACTTGAGTCTGCCAGTAGGCAGATTCCCATTGGATTATGGAAATTGCCTCCAAAATTCAGGTGCAATTGGAGTCCAGCTTTTTCAACTGGTAACAAAAGCTTTAGGAGGTCTTTGCTACAAATGCCTGAGCTACACTAGTAGTTAAGCACGTAAACATCAAAAATACAAGAAAAGAATTGCTGAGCTATTAGAATACTTTTCAAATTGTAGCTTCAAGATGTTAAATAATACACCAGATTTCCTGCTATCAAATGAGAAAAATGAAGGTTAGTTTCAACGTGGTATTTTTACATACGTAGATTGTTGTTTCTATCTTTTAGTACAATTACAGGTGATTTTAAAAAATCTCAACAAGAACATTAGCCAATAAATCCAGCCTTTTCCCCTATTCACAAAATATTAACAAGTAAGTAGTAGTTTCTTTAAATA